ACATGCCTGTAACCGAGTTTAAATTTCCCCCACCCCTTCCTGTCAAGGCCGCACTTTGACTGACAGACGCTCACTCACTGACAGGCGCACACTCACTGACGACACATACACACTCACTGACGACACATACACACTCACTGACTGACACATACACACTCACTGACTACACACTCACTGACTGACACATATACACTCACTGACCAACACACACATTCACTCACAGACACACACACATTCACTTACAGACACACACAATTCACTTACAGACACACACAATTACACACTTACAGACACACACACACACACACATTCACTTCAAAATAAACACTCACAGACACACACACAGACATTTCCACTAACACTCACAAACTAATATTTTTTACATTTATTTTAAATCCACCCAGCCTCCCTGGGAAAGCTGGAGTGGATTTCTTACCAGCAGTCCAGTGTGGCTGCTGGGCAGGCAGGCAGGGGGCGCACAGGCTGAGTAAGCAGCGCTTAGTGATGCCGGGAGCCGGACTGACGTCATATTCTGGCTCCCGGCTTCATTAAGCGGCGCAGAGGAAGCTGAGCAGGAAGAGCTCAGGTGAGTATGCTCCTTCGCTGCCCGCTGCCAGCCTTGGGGGGGCTCAAAAGTGGCCAGCCGGTCAGCTCTTGAGCCCCCCAGGATGCGAGGCAAGCAAGGGATCTGCCTGGGGGTTTGGAGGGATGCTTTTTTTTGCCGCCCCCTGCAAAGTGGCACCCAAGGCAGATGCCTTGTTTGCCTCGTGATACACACGTCCCCGGTGCCTGTGTGTGTTACTGTATTCAGGCAACTTGGTGGGAGGTGGGGGGGGCGCCGTGAAGACTTTTTGCACAGGGCACCTAATTGCCTAAGGCCGGCCCTGCTGACAAACACACATACACCCTCACTGACAGACGTATGTACACTCAGTGTAAGACACACACATTCACTGATAGACACACACACTAACATACACACACACTAACAGACACACTCTAATTAATAGACACACACACTAACACACTCACTAACAGACACACACACACACACACTAACACACTCACTAACAGACACACTCACTAACACACACACTAACACACACACACACTAACACACTCACTAACAGACATTTACAGACACACACACTAATGCACTCACTAACACACACACACTAGCACACTCACTAACAGACACACACACACTCACTAGCAGACACACTCACTAACAGACACTTACAGACACACACACTAACACACACACACACACACACACACACTAACACACTTAAAAAAATGTTTGCATTTCAATCCACCTAGCCAAATTTGGGAGTGCTGGAGTGGATTCTTCCCTGAGGTCCAGTGGGGCTGCTGCTGGCTGGGCTGGCGGACACGGGCGAGTGGGCGGGAGGGCAGGCACAAACTGAAGGAGGAGAGGGAGCTCTGATCTCTCTGCTCAGCTCCCTTGCGCGCCTCCCAGTGATGTTGAAGTGACGTCATATTCTAGCTCCAGCATCAGTGTCGTGCACGCAAGGGACCTGAGCAGGGGAGAGCTCAGGGGAAAGCTCAGAGGTAAGAGCTCCCTCGCCGCTCGCCTCCCACATCAGCACATGCCAGCCTGGGGGGGCCCTGAGGTGGCCAGCTCATGGGCCCCCTAGGACAAGAGGCTGGCAAGACATTTGCCAGAGCGTTTGGGGCCGGCTTTTTTTGCCGCCCTCCTGAAAATGCCTTGTCAGCCTCGCAGTAGATACAGCACTGGTTATGGTGCTTAGACTGCCCATTCAATGTCATTGTGAGGAAGTACGTAATTCTCTTACTGGTGCCACAATAAATAATGTTATGTAATATTTTGCTTTTCAAGAATGGCCTTCCACAAACTTGAAATGATTTGTTTAGTTCTGTGACTTTATATTATTCTTTGGAAGTAATTGGACAATTGACACAAAAGCTGTTTCATTAACAGGTGTGGGCTATTCCTTCGTTATTTCTTAATCAATTAAGCAGGTAAAAGGTCTGGAGTTGATTCCAGGTGTGGCATGTACACCTGGAAGCTGCTGCTGTAAATCCACAACAAGCTGTCATAAGAGGCTCTCAGTGCAAGTGAAACAGGCCATCCATAGACTGCACACAAAGAAGTCCATCAGACATAGCATAAACATTAGGAGTGGCCAAAACAACCGTTTGGAACATTCTGAGAAAAAAAGAAGGCACTAATGAGTTCTGCAACAAAAAAAGGCCTGGATGTCCACGGGAAACAACAGTGGTGAATGATTGTAGGATCCTTTCCAAAGAAAATCCCCTTCACAACATCCAGCCAAGTGAAGTACACTCTCCACGAGGAAAGCATATCATTATCTGAGAGTACCATAAAGAGAAGTCTTCACAAGAGCAAATACAGAAGGTTCATCACAAGGTCCAAACCATTCATAAGCCTCAAGAATAGAAAGTCCAGGTTAGACTTTGCTAAAAACACATCTAAAAAAGCTAGAAAATTTCTGGAACTGTATTCCTTTGACCAGGGCGGACTGGCCCACCGGGATACCGGGAAATTGCCCGGTGGGCCGCGGCACCTGGGGGCCGGCCGCATTCCTGGCTGGAGCCGCCGGGCCGGGTGGCAGCTTCCCCGGTCCGGCGGCACTCCTGTCACTGCTGTGTCTGATGGAGGCGGAGCCTGTCTCTGTACCATGCTTCCTCGCGGTTCCCATGGAGGAGCAGTGAGGGGGAGAAAGAAACATACAGAGTGACTGGGGGAGACAAAAAGGCACATAGAGGGGCTGGAGATAAAGAGACACACATAGGGGCAGTATATATCACTGGTGGATGGGGGGGGCAACGGGCGTCCTCTCCCCCCCCAAGGCTTTCCCCTGCCTGCCGGCACCGTGCGGCCCGTCGGCAGGGGAGGAAGAGAGGACCTGGGGCAATGCTACGGGCTAGAGTTCACTCTCACCACTTCCTGGTGGTCCCAGTAGTAGGAGTGAACTCTAGCCCCATACACACACACTGCCCCACACACACACACACACCATACACATTCACCCACTGCCCCCACACACACACACCATACACATTTACACACTGCCCACCCACAAACTGAACCTTTCACACACATTGCACCACTGCTCCTATACCCTACTACAGCCCCATATCCCAGCAGACTCCAGGTAAGTTGTCAAACTGTTCTTAAACGGTTTGACGACTTACTCTGGGAGGGGGTGCCGACGCTCCTGGCACCATAACCACTACACAGAGGAGTAGTGGTTATTGTGCATGGAATATTTCTTTAAATAATCTACAAGTGCCCCTCTCAGGCTCAGGCTCTGGATCCGCCACTAGTATATGACATGTATATTAATGTGTATATTTGCTATATATATATATATATATATATATATATTGTATTTACACATATTAATGTACATTTATAAATGCATAATACACAGAGAAATTTCATTAATATGTACCATATATAATGAGCAGATATTGGCCCAGTCTTGTTGCTAGGTGCATACTCCAGCACAATAACATATTTAAAGTGAAGAGCACACCCACAGGACTTCAAAATAAAAATTTTTACAGTTGTGCCCTACATACATTCACCATTTCAGTCCCATTAACAAGCTTTCCTTAATATGTCAAGGTAGTTGGACTGAAACATTGATTACATGCAAAGGCACGTCTGCTTAAAATAAATCTGCACTTTTGTTTATTTTGAAGCCTATGAGTGCGCTTTTTACGTTGAAGTACTTTTTAATTTTAAGTTATCTGTTCTAACTCTGTATCTGCACACTATGCTGGCGCAACGCATTATGGGGCTGGTAAATATTTTTTTTCCAGGGCTGCTTTTAATTCCCAGTCCGGCCCTGCCTTTGACAGATGAAACTAAGATCAACTTGTACCAGTGTGATGGGGAAAATAGGTATGGAGAAGGCTTGGATTGGCTCTTGATCTGAAGCATACCACACCATCTGTAAAACACAGGTGGAGGCAGTGTGGTGGCATGGGCATGCATGGCTTCCAATGGCACTGGGTCACTAGTGTTAATTGATGATGTGACAGATGATAGAAGCAGCCGGATGAATTCTGAAATGTAGACAGAACTTAAACCATAAACACCCATGAGCAAACATCAACTAAAGACAGCTACAGTAAGGGCCTGGCAAAGCATCAGAAAGGAGGAAACCCAGCGTTTGGTGATGTCCATGCATTCTAGACTTCAAGCAGTCATTGCCTGCAAAGGTTTCTCGACAAAGTATTAAAAATTAACATTTTATTTATGATTGTGTTAATTTGTTTAACTACATCTGAGCCCTTGAAATAAGGGGACGGTGTATGGAAATGGTTGCAATTTCTTAATGTTTCATACAATATTTTTGCTTAACCCATTGAATTAAGGCTGAAAGTCTGCTCGTCAATTGTATCTTGATTGTTTAATTTGAAATCCATTGTGGTGGCGTACTGAGCCAAAATTATGAAAATTGTGTCCGAGTAAAAATATTTCTGGACCTACCTGTATATCGTTAGAAAGATAATTTAATGCAGAATGTAATGCAGCACACTTTATTAAAAAGTTACATTTTAAAACAAGTTATTCACACAACTCCAAGCTAAAGCGAAGAAAACCATGGAAAAGTGTATTTTATAAATTCTAACCATTTCTTTTAGTTCTAAGTTCTTTAGTACTAAGACAGGAAATCTTCTGCAGCAATGACAGTCTTACAACAGTATCCCATGGAAAGAACTAAATGTTTTAATTCATCAGATGTTTCATGTAAAATCAAGATTGTATGACTGCTTCTATCAATTGTAATTTATTCCTTGGTTGCCTCTAACATGTTTTTTTTTTTTTTTTTATTGGCTCCACAGGTTTTCTATTGGATTCAACTCAGGGCTATTATCTAGCCAGTCTAGCACTGTAATATTTTCCTGAAACCAGTTTTTGCACACAGCAGCAACTTGACAAGGAGGTGAATACTGTTGAATTATATAAGGTTTATTTTCCAGAAAATAAAATCATGTGCCGAAGTCCTCAATTTTGGCTCAAGTATATAGTGAGGGAAAAAAAGTATTTGATGATTTTGTACGTTTGCCCACTGACAAAGAAATGATCAGTCTATAATTATAATGGTAAGTGTATTTTAACAGTGAGAGACAGAATAACAAAAAAAAAAATCCAGAAAAACACATCAAAAAAGTTATAAATTGATTTGCATGTCAATGAGTGAAATAAGTATTTGACCCCTTCAACTGTCTCAGTACTTGGTGGCAAAACCCTTGTTGGCAATCACAGAGATAAAGATGTTTCTTGTAGTTGGCATCCAGGTTTGCACAGATCTCAGGAGGGATTTTGTCCCACTCCTGTTTGCAGATCCTCTCCAGATGATTCAATTCCATTCCCGTTTTGATCTCTTCCTTCTCTGTCTTGCAGATATGAATGGCCTTTTCTTTGAAATTCTAGAATTGTATTTTTTTTAAATTCTTTATTTTCTGTTGTGCAGCCACAATAGCAGTCGTAAGCTTATAACAGGCATCATAAACATAACGTGGCATATAATAGTCAGCACCGTTTTTACGTTTTGGTTGTAGGGAACGATATAAGGTACAAGCTGAGTCTAACATGTCTAGAGGGAATATGGAGGGTAGGCTTACGCTTCTATTTATAACAAGTTGGTTCATAGACATGGAGCTAAAGATAATTACGGTAAGTAGTTTGTGACACATGCTTATGGTATAGTAGAGGGATAACGTTGAAATACAGGTGTGTAGGACATGCTGATCATCTGAGGACAGGCCATTTCTGCTGTTGGGCACATGTCAAGCTTAATCTATTGAGCAAGATAAAACATCCTAGTCTGTGTTGCTTACATACATTTTTAGAGCTTGTGGAATACACAGTTAGTGTTATCGAGCTAATCTGTTTGGACCTGCTCAGTCTAATTTCAGGAGATGCTAAGTGGTGTCTGATATCTGTGATACACTATAAGACATGGTGAGAGGCATGCTGAGATCTGCCTTATTTGGCAAATTGGTGAGGCATTTAACATAATATATATACTGGCATTACATATGTGCCGCAAGACGATTAATATGGACATTTTATAACATTTTATAACACAAAGTCCACCGGTACTGCATGCTCTTGTTTAGGGTAGCAGAGCTGGAAAGCCAAAATTAAAATTAAACGTGGTGGGCGGCAGATCAAAGGTCTTGTGTCCATAGGGGGGGGGGGGAACGAGGGCCCTTGTTTGAGCTGTTTGCCGCCAGGGACGAAGGGGGAACGGCCGTCTCCCCTGCGTCCACCATGCTGATGGGCCTTGGTCCACGTTGCCGGGTTACTTGCAGTTTGAGTCACATGTTTGGTGCCGGCGTGTAGCCCCGGTCCTCAGATCCTGGTTGGTTGCCCATTTTGTGGGATTGTGGTCAGTTTCAGGCTTTTAATCAGGAATATTTGCCACCAGGAGCCGGAGCAGCTCTATCCTGTGTCTGCTCGGCTCTGCAGTCAGGCCCCGCCCCCGAAATTCTAGAATTTTAATCTTTAAATCTGCATCTAACAATCCTATCACTTATCTTCAGATCACATTAAGGCAATTCAAATCATGATTTATGAATTATGATTTTATTCTGTCACTTAAAGGGATACTAGAGTATAAGGAATACAAACTTGTTTTCCTAAAACGATAGATCCCTCTGGTCCCCTGAACAATAAAGGGTTAAAAACCCTTTATTTACTCCCTCGATTCCAGTGCCGATGTCTCGCAGGCGACCTAAAGTCCAGTAAGATCCCAGAAGCATCTCTAATGGCTGTCTGCTAAACAGCCTACAGAGGCTGTCTTAGTACTGCAATGTAGACATTAAAATTTCTCTAAAACTGCAATATTTTACATTGCAGTACTAAGGGCAGTAGGGACACTGTCCCCAGACCACTTCAATAAGTTGGTTTTCAATAAGATTGGTTCCATGCTGTGACATAATAACACCTAATTGATTCCATGCTGAGAAATTATAACATCTTATTGGCTCTCAGAACAATCCGTCTCATTGGCCAGTTTTGAGTTAAAGAAATCCATTTCAAGTTACATAAGGCAGTTGGGTTATCTTTTTTGTTTATTTAGCTGTAACAGTTAAAGATAATTTAACACATTCGTTGCATTGCATTATCTTTGTTGTGATATGTTATTTGAAGGCATTATTATTAAAAAGACTGATGTTATAAGCCATCAAAAGTTAAAAATATACATTTTTAAAGAAGGTTTCCACAATTTTGACAATTAGATTAATACAGTGATGGGATGCCCAGTCACTTGCCAGCAGAATTGACATTCCTAACTTAATATACTGGCAGCAATCAGAAAACGTTTGGCATCACTGATAATACAAAGGATGAATGTTCAATGAAAAAAAAGGGTTAATGGTGACAAGCAAAAGTGGGAAGAATGTCGTTTACCTTCTGTTGATCAATGCCTGGAACCAACTGGAATTCACCGAAAGCAAGCATACAAAATGGATAAGGAATTATAATGGCATCTCATCCTGTTGTCGCCTGAATGGTAGCCAGCCTAAAACCACTTTTCCACAATTCAGGCCACCGCTGTGGTTCTGTGATATCTACAAAATATAATCGATCGTACATTTAATGTAAAGAAACGTGTGTAGGGACCACATGCAGCCATGATCAGTGGCAAGGGTTCAGAAAGAACTCTGAAATAGTACATACCTATTTCCAAAATGTATATAATTCTGGCCAAATATTGTATCACATTCACTAGGCAATGTAGTCCCAAGAAATCTCATGTGGATAGAAAATGGGCACTTTTTTTTTTTTTATAACTTTAAAAAATATTGCAATTTAGTCCTACCAAATCCCACCTTATCAGCATAATATTAATCATATTAATCGCCCATTAAGTTCAACAGTATATACAATAAACTGCAAACCTAATCATAAAAATGTCAAACAAAATCTAAAGAATAACCGTCTGTTTCCTGTTTGTTTGGTCCCAGTCAGACATGTGGTTAGATGCAGAACATGCTAAGTTAAACAGTACATGTTACAATAAACAGACAAATAATCTAAAGTCAAATGGCAGGAATACAAAATGTCAGGCATACAAAATGGTAGTCATACAAAATGGCAGGCATACAAAATGGCAGGCATATAAAATGGCAGGCATACAAAATGGCAGGCATACAAAATGGTAGCATACAAAATGGCAGGCATACAAAATGGCAGGCATATAAAATGGCAGGCATACAAAATGGCAGGCATACAAAATGGTAGCATACAAAATGGCAGGCATACAAAATGGCAGGCATATAAAATGGCAGGCATACAAAATGGCAGGCATACAAAATGGTAGCATACAAAATGGCAGGCATACAAAATGGCAGGCATATAAAATGGCAGGCATACAAAATGGCAGGCATACAAAATGGTAGCATACAAAATGGCAGGCATACAAAATGGCAGGCATATAAAATGGCAGGCATACAAAATGGCAGGCATACAAAATGGTAGCATACAAAATGGCAGGCATACAAAGTGGTAGGCATATAAAATACTATTTCATTTTACAGGCCCAATCTCTGCTTACACTCCATACATTCCCAAAGCTTCTCTTATGTATAGATCACGCACCAGCATCCTACTGCTTAATTCTATGCCATTTAGGAGTTAAATCACTTTTATTTCATTTTTGTTTCTTTTTATTAGCCCTTGCAACACCCAGGGCCGGCGATACCATTAAGGTGAATAAGGCATTCGCCTGGGGCGCCGGCCTCTGGGGGGCGCCCACCAAGAGGTTTCCCGGCGGGCTGCCTGCTATAGCTGTCTGGGGATGCTGTGCTGGGCCTGCTGGGCTCCTCTCTGCTGTAAATTACCTGTTCGGGCAGTGGGGTTTACTGCAGAGCACTGTTTGCTTCCTGCAGGCAGGGGAAGCCGGGATATGACCGGGTATCCTGGCTGCCCCTTGCCTGTGAACACCGGAAGCTCTGTGAAGGGAGCAGGAAGTAGCCTGTGCTCACTGTGCATGGCTCTCCTGTTCCCCAGGAGAAATAGCAAGATCCTGGATCCTGCAGCCTGGACCTCTGCTCAGCACCCAGGTATGGCATGGTTAAGGGGGATTGCTTATTGTGTGCATGTTTGTAAATGGGGAGTGTGTTAAATTAATGTGTTTGTGTTTGTAAATAAAGTGTGACTTTATGTAAAGTGGTGTGAGTTTGTGTTTGAGTGATAGTGTGTGTGTTAATGAGTGTGTAAGTGACAATGTGTGTTAGTGAGAGTGTGCAAGTGACTCTGGGTGTGTGTGTTAGTGAGAGTGTGCAAGTGACTCTGGGTGTGTGTGTGAGCATAGGCGTGCGCACGGGGTGTGCCGGGTGTGCCTGGGCACACCCTAATCCCCGCGCACGCCTATGTATATTGAGACCGGCAGGGGAGATCTCAGGATCTCCCCTGTCGGCTCATGCAGAGCCGGCGCTATCTGAGCGCCGGCTCTGCTCTCAACCTCCCTCCCCACTGACCCACATGCAGGGAGGGAGGCAGGAGAGGACCCGGCGGAGCTCTTGCCGGCAGCTCCGCCGGGTTCCTCTCGCGAGATATGAGCGTTGCCACGGCAACGCTCAAATCTTGCGAGAGTGAACTCTAGCCTCACAGGGGGCTAGAGTTCACTCTCCACTGGACCACCAGGGATCACAGCAGCAAGGATCCCCTCCTCCACTGGACCACCAGGGAAGGAAGCAGCAGCACGATCCCCCCTCCCTACAAAAGGTAAGAAGGGAGGGGAGATAGCAAATAATGTACCCCCACCTCCACCCCCCACAATCACCCACCCACACACATACAACACACATACAGCACCCACACACATTCAGCACCCACAGACATAAGCAGCACCCACACACATTCAGCACCCACACACATTCAGCACCCACACACATACAGCACCCACACACATTCAGCACCCACAGACATACACAGCACCCACACACATACAGCACCCATTCACAGCACCCACAGACATACAGCACCCACAGACATACAGCACCCACAGACATACACAGTACCCACACACATACAGCACCCACACAGCACACACACATACCACACACATACAGCACCCACAGACATACACAGCACCCACACACACAGCACCCACACACATTCAGCACCCACAGACATACACAGCACCCACACATTCAGCACCCACAGACATACACAGCACCCACAGACATACAGCACCCACAGACATACACAGCACCCACAGACATACAGTACCCACAGACATACAGCACCCACAGACATACACAGCACCCACAGACATACACAGCACCCACAACATACACAGCATCACACACATACAGCACCCACACACATACAGCACCCACAGAATACACAGACACACACATCAGCACCCACAGACATCCAGCACCCACAGACATACACAGCACCCACACACATACACAGACATCCAGCACCCACAGACATACACAGCACCCACAGACATACACAGCACCCACACACATTCAGCACCATTCAGCACATCCACAGACATACAGCACCCACAAACATACACAGCACCCACAGACATACACAGCACGCACCCATACACAGCACCAACAGACATACACAGCACCCACACACATACAGCACCCACAGACACACACAGCACTCACACACATACACAGCACCCACACACATACAGCACCCACAGACATACACAGCACCAACACACATACAGCACCCACACACACATACAGCACCCTCACAAACACACATAGCACCCTCACAAACACACACAGCACCCTCACACACACACAGCACACTAACAGTACCCTCACAAACACAAACAGGACCCTAACAAACACACACACAGCACACTACCAGTACCCTCACACACAAACAGCACCCTCACACACAGTACATTAACAGCACCCTCACAAGTGCACACACACACACAAACAGCACCCTCACACACAGTACATTAACAGCATCCTCACAAGCACGTACACACAAACACCCTCACCCACATAGCACACTACCAGCATCGTCACAAACACATCACACTAACAGCACCCTCACACAGCACACACACACACACAGCAGTGTGTGTATGTGTGTATATATGTATATATATATATATATATATATATATATATATATATACACATATATATACATACATACATACATATATGCGGCGTGTGCTTGTGCTTTAGGGTGCACACCCTAATGCAATAGGCTGCGCACGCCTATGTGTGTGAGTGTGTGCAAGTGACTCTTGGTGTGTGTGTGAGTGTGTGCAAGTGACTCTTGGTGTGTGTGTTAGTGAGAGTGTGTAAGTGATAATGTGTGTTAGTGAGTGTGCAAGTGACTCTGGGTGTGTGTGTTAGTGAGAGTGTGCAAGTGACTCTGGGCGTGTGTGTTAGGGAGAGTGTGCAAGTGACACTGTTAGTGAGTATGTGTAAGTGCCACTGTGTGGTGTTAGAATGTGTAGCTGACAATGTGTATGCCAGTGAGATTGTGTGTATTAGTGAGAGTGTGCAAGTGACACTGTGTAGGTCAGTGAGAATGTGTATGTGTTAGAGTGTGTAAGTTAGAGTTAGAATGTGTAAGTGTGTATGCCAGTGAGAGAGTGTGTGTATTAGTGAGATTGTGTAAATGACACTGCAAAGGTAATTATTGCAATTTGTAAGAAACTTCAATAATTACTGTTCAGGGTTAACTCCTCTAGTGGCTATGCACGGGGACGTCCAGCGTCACGCAAAACCTAGGATCACGGAAATGCCACTGCGAGCGCGGCCCTTGAGGAGCAAAGGCCGACCCAAGCCAGCACAAAATACATTGGTGCTGGACCCAGGTAAGTGACAGAAGGAGTTTTAACCCCTGCTGCACCACAAGGGGGGTGTGCTTGACGGAGGGGGAAGCTATAGTGTCAGGATAACAAGTTTGTTTTCCTGACACTATAGTTTCCCTTTAATATCTACTCAGTGCGCCTCTTTCTCTAAATGTCTCTTTAGTGTAATTCAGAGTTTAGTGAATAAACCTCTGAGGGAATGCAGTTGCATTCATGAGGGGGCGTCAAAATGTATTGTTGCCTAGGGCGGCAAGAATCCTTGCACCGGCCCTGGCCACACCTCGCCTGGCTGTGACTCACACAGCATACATGAAAAAAATTGGTTTTATTTTCAATCTTATCTTACAGAGCGGTGTGTTTACTTTAGAAATTTTCATTACCTACCCTGTTAACCCCTTAGTGACCAAGCCGTTTTTCAAGAGCCACTGGGACCAAGGCTCTTTTAACATTTCTGTGGTGTTTGTGTTTAGCTGTAATTTTTCTCTTACTCATTTAATGTACCTACACATATTATATATTGTTTTTCTCGCCATTAAATGGTCTTTCTGAAGATACCATTATTTTCATCATATCATATAATTTACTATAAAAAAATTATAAAATATGATGAAAAAATTGAAAAAAAACACACTTTTTCAAACTTTGACCCCCAACATCTGTTACGCATCTACAACTGCCAAAAAACACCCATGCTAAATAGTTTCTAAATTTTGTCCTGAGTTTAGATGCCCAATGTTAGCATGTTCTTAGCTTTTTTTGAAAAGTTATAGGGCTAGAAGCACAAGTAGCACTTCGCTATTTCTAAACCAATTTATTTCAAAATTAACGCAAGTTACATTGTAACACTGATATCTGTCAGGAATCCCAGAACAACCCTTCACATGTATATATTTTTTAAAAGAAGACAACCTAAGGTATTAAACCTGAGGTATTTTTGAATCTTTTCATGCAGCCATTTTACCACCAATCTATGCCAAATAAAAAAAAATAATTGGTGATTTTTTTGAGACACATAGCAATTTAAGAATATATGTACTGCGAACTTTAAGGGTTACTGCCAAAGAACACCCCGATATGTGTTCAGCATCATCTCCCGAGTACAGCGATACCACCCATGTATAGGTGTGTTGGGTTCTCTGGGGCTAAAAAACCTTATTCGGAGGGTGCGCATTCCAGTTTTCCAACTTGGAATTTTCACAGTTAGTCATCATGCACCCATATCCGAATTGGGACATTTTTAAAGACGGACAATATAATTTACCCCCATCAAACCATATATTTTTGAAAAGTAGACACCCTAGGGTATTTCAAATGGTGGTATTTTAACACTTTCCATGCTCTAATTCTACCACCAGTCTTTATTAAACTTTTGGATTGTCGTTTTTTTGTGTTACTTTTCTCTCACATTGTACTTTATGCATGGATTTTTAGTTCTGTTTATGTGTTACTGACAAAGAAACCCCCAATATGTGTTCAACAACATCTCCCGAGTACAACAGTGCCCCCAATGTACAGGATTTATGGGCTTTTGCAAACTTACAGGGGTCAAATGTAGGGCTTTTCCATGTTTGCACATGTTTGAAATTTGCCAGATTGGTTTGCTGGGCCTATGTTGCCTTTGAGACCATATAGCAGCACAGGAATTAAAATTAACCCCATCATGGCATACCATTTGTAAAAGTAGACAACCCAGGGTATTCAATGGGGTATGTTCAGTCTTTTGTAGTAGCCACTTGTTCGAGCTAGTCACAAACGCTGGCCAAAGTTAGCATTTTTCTTTGTTTTTTGCATTTTTTTACACAAAAACTGCACTTTTACTGGTGATTTCATTGTCGGAATACGTTTTACTGATTTAGAACACTCATATTTGTGTTCAACGAAGTCTCCCGAGCAGTGGCGTACATACCAGGGTCGCAGGGGTCGCGGCTGCGACTGGGCCCAGCCCACCAGGGGGCCCGGCCGCCCCTGCGACCCGGTATGTACCCACAGGGCCAGCCTCTTCTCCTGGGGGGCCCAGGAGCCGGCCACCCCAGGGCCCCCCGAGGCTGGCCCTGCTGACACCCAGCAGGCGGGTGGCCTGACGGGCAGGCAGGCAGGCGGGCGCGCGAGGGAGCACTCAGTGCTTCCTCTTCAGCTCCCTCGCGCACCGCGCTGATACCGGAGCCGGAAGATGACGTCATCTTCCGGCGCCGGCATCCCTACGCGGCGCGCGAGGAAGCTGAAAAGGAAGCACTGAGTGCCTGCCCGACCGGCCACCCGCCCAGGAGCCCAGCAGCACCACTGGACCCCAGGGAATCCCCCCAGCACTCTAAAAGGTAAGGAGGCTGGGGGGATTACATTTAAAAAAAAAAAAAGTTAGTGTTAGTGTTTGAGTGTGTGTGAGTGTTAGAGTGAGTGTTAGTGTGTGTGTCTGCTAGTGAGTGTTAGTGTGAGTGTTAGAATGAGTGTTAGTGTGTGTGTCTGCTAGTGAGTGTTAGTGTGAGTGTTAGAGTGAGTGTTAGTGTGTGTGTCTGCTAGTGAGTGTTAGTGTGAGTGTTAGAGTGAGTGTTAGAGTGAGTGTTAGTGTGTGTGTCTGCTAGTGAGTGTTAGTGTGAGTGTTAGAGTGAGTGTGAGTGTGTGTGTCTGCTAGTGAGTGTTAGTGTGTGTGTCTGCTAGTGAGTGTCAATGAGTGTGTTACTGTGTGTGTCTTACTGAGTGTGTGTATGTTAGTGAGTCTGTTTGATGTCTGTTAGTGAGTTTGTGTTTGTCAATGAGAGTGTATGTTTTGTAAGTGAGTGTGTATGTATGTCTGTCGCTGACTGTGTCTCTGACAGTAAATGTGTGTGTCTGTTAGCTAGTGTGTATGCGTCTGTAAGTGTGTGTGTGTCTTCAGCACTTACCTTTCTCCAGCGCCGGACTCCCTTGGCGCTGAGGATCCCTCAGTCTCTCAGCTCCGAATGCGACCGCGCACGCATTCAAACCGCCCATAGGAAAGCATTACTCAGTGCTTTCCTATGGACGTTCAGTGTGCTCCTCTAGCGGCTGTCAGTGATTAACCCTCTCTGAAACTGCTATGTTTTCAGCTGCAGGGTTAAAACTAGAGGGACCTGACACCCAGACAACTTCATTGAGCTGATGTGATCTGGGTGTCTGTAGTGGTCCTTTAAAGGACCACTATAGTGCCAGGAAAACATTCTCGCCCGGCTCTGGAAAGGGGAAAAGGGGTAAAACTTACCTTTTTCCAGCGCTGGGCGGAGAGCTCTCCTCCTCCGATCCTCCTCTTCTCCTCCCCGTCGGCTGTATGCGCACGCGCAGCAAGAGCTGCGCGCGCATTCAGCTGGTCACATAGGAAAGCATTCATAATGCTTTCCTATGGACGCTGGTGTGCTCTCACTGTGAAAATCACAGTGAACAGCACGCAAGCGCCTCTAGCGGCTGTCAATGAGACAGCCGCTAGAGGAAATAGGGGAAGGCTTAACCCATTCATAAACATAGCAGTTTCTCTGAAACTGCTCTGTTCATGAAAAAATGGGTTAACCCTAGCTGGACCTGGCACCCAGACCACTTAATTAAGCTGAAGTGGTATGGGTGCCTAGAGTGGTCCTTTAAGTGTGTGTGCATCTGCATGCACTGGTGTACATACCGGGGTTGCAGGGGTCGCAGCCCTGTAAACCCTGCGACCAGGTGCCCACCGCCATGTGTTGCGGCCTGCGCGGGGGGGGGGGGTGGTTGCCACGGATCAATTTTCGCACCAGGGCCCCATGGGTCATGTGTACGCCACTGCTCCCGAGTATAACAATACACCCCATGTGCAGGTTTTATGGTGTTTTGAAAAGTTACAAGGTCAATATAGGGCTTGCCCGATCTAGTTTGCCAGATTGGTTTGCTGGACCTTAGTTGCCTTTTGAGACCATATGATAGCCCAGGAATGTGAAATAAGTCCATCATGTCATACCATTTTCAAATGTAGACAACCCAGCGTATTCCAAAAGGGGTATTTCCTGTCTTTTTTTGTAGAAACTTAGTCACAAACGCTGTCCAAAGTTAGTTTTATAGTTTTTTTGTATAAATGTTTTGGGTTTAAATTTTTATATATATATATATATATATATATATAATACGTGCGTGTGTATATATTATACATATATATATATATATATATATATACACACACACACATATACATAGATATTTATATACACACACACACACAAACACATAATACGTGTCTGTGTGTGTGTGTATATATATATGTACACAGTCAGGTCCATAAATATTGGGACATCAACAAAATTTGAATCTTTTTGGCTTTATACACTGCCACAATGGATTTGAAATGAAATGAACAAGATGTGCTTTAACTGCAGACTTTCAGCTTTAATTTGAGGGTATTTACATCCAAATCAGGTGAACGGTGTAGGAATTACAACAGTTTGTATATGTGCCTCCCACTTTTATTTTTTTTAATTTTTTTAAAATTCTTTATTTTTTTGTGCAAGGAGTTAACAAGCGCGCATACTGCGCCACAACAGCTTTCGTATGCCACATTTCAACAATATTGGTACAGTATAGATCAACAATGCACAGTTTTTATTTGGTTAGAAGTCCGTAAGCACTCCGCGGGTAAACATGGTTGTGCCCTTGATATGGGCGTCAGGGTCTAGTGTACTGGCAGAGTGTCATGATACACTAGTAAGATATAAGTGTTGGGATCTCGTAGTTGTACGTCGTGGTGATTAATGTATGGCGTTATAGGTTGGCTGGAACCGTGGACCTGGGAGAGGGACCCAGCCCTAAGGGTCTTATATAGGGAAGTTGTAGCCCTGCCGAACTCATAGGTACTACTGTGGTCAGTCGGGTGTGTTGTGTGTTAGTGTACACTCAGTTACCCCAGAGTGTTGGGGGAGGGGGTGGAGGGGAATCTCCGGGTTCTGTGCCCTCTTATTGGGACATGTCGTATGAGGTGTGCTAGCGCATGGGGTCATCAGTGTTAACTATGCCCCGGGGACTCTATCAGTGTTGAGTATAGCTGGATAGGAACTAGACATTAAAACAAGAGCTATTAAACAGTTAAACAGTTAAACAGAAATGGTGAGTAAGCATCTGGGACTGGTGTAGGGGTCAGTCCCTTTTCTTTTGGCTGCTGGCTCATCTTCAGTGTCAGCCGGTATCAGCTGAAGAGCGTGGGGTAAAAGGGACAATCCTGTGCACATCCCAGCTGTGACCCGGACGAGTCGTGCTGTCCGATGACTTGGTAAGGCCCAGTCCCTGAAGGAATGCCGCAGAGTCTTCTGCGGTGGGAAGCTAATGCATGCTCCCGTCCTTATGTACAATTAGGGTGCGAGAGGGCCCCCATTTGTAGCTGATGTTTGCAGAGCGCAGGGTTTTTGTCACCTGCTGAAAGGACCGTCTCCATTCTAGGGTGGAGCGGCATAAGTCCTGCAAGAATTGGAGTTGCATCTCCTCGAACTTCAGGGGTGTTCTGGATCTTATAGCGTCCTGCAGGGCCATCTTGTCTCGAAACAGTGGGAAGCGTATCAGGACATCTCGGGGCACTCCAGCCGGGGCCCTGTTTGATTTGGCAAGTCTATAGTATCCATCCATCTGTATACCCTTTGCAGAGCGCTGCGGCAGTAGGGTAGTCCATAGCCGGCGTAAGAAATGGGGCAGTTCCTGTTCGGTGATTGATTCGGCTATGCCCCTTATTTTAAGGTTATTGCGTCTCCTCACGTCATCCTGGGCATCCAGTCTGATCTGCATATTTTTGTGTGATGCTTGGAGCTGTAGCAGTAGCTCGTTGGTGCTTGCTTGCTTTTGGGCTAGGGAGGTGGTGGTGTCCTCGTTGGCCTGTACTCTGGCAGTCACCACTGTTATATCCTCTCGTATTACGTTCAAGTCTGCATTGAAGAAGGCTCTTATATTCGACATTAGAGCCTTAATATCCCCTTTAGTAGCTGGGGCTGTCAGATCTTCCCCTCCTTGTGGGCTGATTATGCTCTCCGAGCAGGGGATTTCATCCGGTGCGTCCAGAATTTCATCCTCCGAGGATGTGTAGTATGCATCTATTTGCGGCACCATTTTGGGCCTAGGCCGCGGCTGTAGAAGGTCGGCGATATCGCGGGAGCCATTCCCGGTAAGGGTTTTGAGCTTCTTTGCTTTCTTCCCCATTGTGGGGTGAGTTGTTTAACCCGATCTCGGGCAGGGTAAGGGTAGGTAGGTGCCCCGAAATCTGCCGTTTAGTATTCCAGCCGCGGGAGCTTAGCCGACATGCGACTGCTCTCTTTAGCGTTGAGACCACGCCCCCCGTGCCTCCCACTTTTCAAGGGACCAAAAGTAATGGGACAATTGGCTGCTCAGCTGTTCCATGGCCAGTTGTGTGTTATTCCCTCATTATCCCATTTACAAGGAGCAGATAAAAGGTCCAGAGTTCATTTCAAGTGTGCTATTTCCATTTGGAATCTGTTGCTGTCAACTCTCAATATGAGATCCAAAGAGCTGTCACTGTCAGTAAAGCAAGCCATCATTAGGCTGAAAACAAAACAAACCCATCAGAGAGATAGCAAAAACATTAGGTGTGACCAAATTGTTTGAAACATCCTTAAAAAGAAAGAACGCACCGGTGAGCTCAGCAGAAAAAAAAAGACCCGGAAGACCACGGAAAACAACTGTGGTGGATGACCGAAGAATTCTTTCCCTGGTGAAGAAAACATCCTTCACAACAGTTGGCCAGATCAAGAACACTCTCCAGGAGGTAGGTGTATGTGTGTCAAAGTCAACAATCAAGAGAAGACTTCACCAGAGTGAATACAGAGGGTTCACCACAAGATGTAAACCATTGGTGAGCCTCAAAAAAGATTGGCCAGATTAGAGTTTGACAAACAACATCTAAAAAAGCCTTCACAGTTTTGGAACAACATCCTATGGACAGATGAGACCAAGATCAACTTGTACCAGAGTGATGGGAAGAGAAGAGTATGGAGAAGGAAAGGAACTGCTCATGATCCAAAGCATACCACCTCATCAGTGAAGCATGGTGGTGGCAGTGTCATGGCATGGGCATGTATGGCTGCCAATGGAACTGGTTCTCTTGTGACTGCTGACAAAAGCAGCAGGATGAATTCTGAAGTGTTTTGGGCAATATTATGTGCTCATATTCAGCCAAATGCTTCAGAACTCATTGGACGGTGCTTCACAGTGTAGATGGACAATGACCCGAAGCATACTGCAAAAGCAATCAAAGAGTTTTTTAAGGGAAAGAAGTGGAATGTTATGCAATTGCCAAGTCAATCACCTGACCTGAATCCGATTGAGCATGCATTTCACTTGATGAAGACAAAACTGAAGGGAAAATGCCCCAAGAACAAGCAGGAACTGAAGACAGTTGCAGTAGAGGCCTGGCAGAGCATCACCAGGGATGAAACCCAGCGTCTGGTGATGTCTATGCGTTCCAGACTTCAGGCTGTAATTGACTGCAAAGGATTTGCAACCAAGTATTAAAAAGTGAAAGTTTGATTTATGACTGTTAATCTGTCCCATTACTTTTGGTCCCTTAAAAAGTGGGAGGCACATATACAAACTGTTGTAATTCCTACACCGTTCACCTGATTTGGATGTAAATACCCTCAAATTAAAGCTGAAAGTCT